TATCTCAAACTGATCTTCCTTCTGAAGCCACTGCAACATCTGAGTCCAGCTTGGTTCGTGGTGCGGGTTCAATACATGGAACACTGGCATTTCCCCATGTTCCTTGCGAGGACCGGCAGCTTCAAGGAACGCTTTCGCCGCAACGTCGACTGGCAGCCAATCTAGAGGCTCATCACCGAGATCAGGTAAACATTTGATGAGTCTCGCGGTACTCAACATCATGGGCCATGCCTCCTTTGTGTTCCATACCCCTGATGTGGAATCCCCAGCGAGTTGTCCAACACGGACTACTGCTATACATCCGCGAAGATTCGTCCGATTATGCGCTTCAAGGCAGATGTGCTCTGCGACCCACTTCGAACGCGAATAACCCAATGGAGATGCTGATGAGGGCTCAGATGACACCACCTCGGGTAGCTGACCAGACGCGTCGAGGGTGCCGTTCATGATGGCTGCAGTAGAAGAGCAGTACGTGAAACGCGGAGGTTGTGATCGCTGTGACTTGAGGGCAAGATCGAGCAGGTTTCGCACACCGGCGATGTTATCTTTCTCAAAACTGCGCAACTTCAGGCGGAAGTTGACAGTCCAGGCGACGTGGATGATCGAAGTCGCGTTCTCGGCGAGGTACTCGTATACGTCTTCACCCAGTCCCAGACGTTCTTCGCTCAGCTGAGACGGTATGACTTTGATTTTACCATCCGCAGCTCCTGGGGTCAACAAGCTAACCAGTCCACGCTGCTCCAATGCTTTACTGACACGTTCTCTTGCTGCATGCTCATCTGCTCCTCTGACAAGACAGTAAACAGCCTCAACATCCGATCTTTTCTGCAACAGGTCTAGAACGTGTGCTCCCAACGCGCCGGTCGCTCCCGTTAGTACCACCACTTCGATAACTCCCCTCTTCGCAACGGAGCCATTGGTAGCGGTACGCAGTGTTGAAGCCGTGAACGAGCCATACTGCTTCACCAGGTCTAACATCAGCTTCTCTTCGTCCTCACCACCGGAGTCGCTCTGTCCATGCCTCTTCCGTAAGACATAGTCTGTCAATCGTCGCACGGTACCGCAGTCCTCAACGACGCTCATCGGGAGCTGACCTTCAAAATTGGGAATCAAGCGTCTCAAACGTGTCCTCAACTGCATGCATGCGATTGAGTCGACACCGTAGGAAAAGAGATCTATGTCTTTGTTCAGTTCCGCCGTCTGACCCGTCATACTCTGAATGAGGCCGATTAGATGCTGGGGCACGTCGTCGTCGCTTACTTCAAGTGACGAGTCGGAATCTTGTGAGCCATAGGCGCTGTTAATAGCGTCTTCAAACCGGGACTCTGCCGCTCTCCGGATAATGGTTCCTTTACTGCTCTTCTCGAGTGGCTGATCTTGGTGAGGTAGCGGAACGAGCATGTCAAACGATATCCTTGCATGGTCCTGGCTTTCGCTGTTCAGCTTCTCGACTTGTATTCTAATGGCGCCTAGGAGCTCTTGGTCTGACATGTTACTTGACTGTTTTGATCGCAGGAGAAGAGCACCTGGGAAGGGTCTGTTATTGCCAAATATCAGCACATCGTCGAGATAAGGAGAAGTCGCGATAGCGTCTTCTAGGGGCGCCGGATCGAATTTCTTTCCGGTTATCAGTGTGAGTTGCGAATCTGCTCGCGAATGGTACAACCATGCGTCCTTAATGGTCGGATGTGCTGCAAACAAGTCGGCAGTTGCAAAAGATCCGTCCGGTCGGTTTTGTTTGGCCTGTTCCAAGTCAGCCGGTCGTCTTGTCGTATAAGATCCTGCAAGGTACCATATGTGGCCATCCGGGCTTGATAATAAGCTCGGCTAGGTCCCCTTCGCGCTTCTCGAACTCTACCAATTTCGGTGGGTTGTAGTTCCGCAGATATTGCCAATCGTCGTCGGCGGCAAAATCGCGATATGAAGACAGAATGAAGCCACACTCTGCACTACCAAATCGGGAGATGAGATTAACACGGCTCTTTACTAATCGGTCGCCCACTTCTGCTGGCAATGCAGCGCCTCCAACGCCCACAACATCCATGTCTTGGAGCAGCTGCAGACCCTTCTCGTCGGCCTCCATCATTTGAAGTACATAGGGTACGGATGAGAAGTATTTGACTTTGGGTAAACCTTCCGTCGCCGCGTACGTCTTGGCCACATCCAGGCATTCGCAGATGTTGCGTGCTGTGATTGGTACATCTTTGCCCGGGAAGAGCCAGATCATAGCATTGCTCGTCCAGCACCGGAAGAGATCCGCGATGCCGCCATGGTAAAGGGGCGTTGTAGTGAAGGATGCTAGGGCAGGAATCTTGGGGAGATGCGGAAGCACGCCAATAGCCGCACGATGGGATTGCGGGATCGGTTTTGGCAGGCCTGACGAGGTTCCAGACGTGTGGTGTAAGTACGCAATGGATCCTTCATCTACGTGAAGAGGTTCGACGCTACTCTCTGGTGGGGTCTGGATCACATCGAGAACGTCTTCTGCACCGCTCAGTGGTAACAGCGTCACTTGTAGCCCCAGCGTACCTTGTTCCTTTGCCAGCGTCTCGGTCTGCTGGGCCCGTTCAGTATGGGCAACATCGTAGAAGAAGTCAGTAACCTCGCACGCTGTGCAGAGATGCAGGATGGCTGCTGGCTGGCATTGTGGTGCTATCAGAAGAACGGAGTACCCTAGTCTGATCAGACCCAGCCAAGTGAAGAGGAATTCCGGAGAGCTGTGGCACAACAAGGCTACAGTCGCTAGCTTGCGAGATGTGCCAAGGCAAGTTGTGAGGCGCGAGGCGAAGACGTTGGTGCCCTGGTCAACGTCTGCAAATGAGAGGACGCGGTAGTCCCATTCTCGCTGGTTGGGTCGTGGTATAGGAAAGCCAACAGCTGGGAGTAATGGATGATGCTGGGATTGCTGACTGAGGAACTCGCTAATGTTTCGGTAGGACTTCGGATTGGTGTTCAGGGCTGCCGCTTGGCCGAGCGTGCAGACGAAGTAGTTGTTCTGCATTTTGGGGCGCATAACGAAATGCCCAGGTAAACAGGACTATCTGGTCCAATAGCCTGTGCGACTGGATTGTGAATGCGTCAGCTTCAAGTGGCGTGTGCAATGTTTGCGGCCACAGTGACAGCGACAATGCAAGCGCCATTAGTCGTGACATCATCTTGGCTGCAAAGGCAGTAGCGACCCTGCAGCTGCTCCTTGGGCAAGCTACTGCATGTACAACACACATGCGACTATATCTGATGGAAAGATGAGGCTGCACACAAACCCTCACGATGGCAGCAGGTGTTTGATTTCCTGTAAGCTCTGGGACGATAGGTCAGCTGCTGCGCGCACGAACCATGCGTTCAACCAGGTCATGCCCAACCGAATGCAGCCTTCCAAAGCGAGCCGCCACTCGATCGCATCGGATGCAGTGAGTACGGTCCCGCGAGGGGGTCATGATGGCAGACGGCGTCACGAGACGGCTAAAAGAGGCTCGAGAATGTTCTGCGTGCGACAACGGCTGGAGAGCGTCGCACACCCGCGTAATCGGCTTACGACAGGTGTTACCGTGTACTGGCAACGCCACAGTGACTATCGTGTTTCTGGGGTAGCGAATGCGGGCAACGTCGACGCCTCAATGCTCGACCCAGTGACTAGTGTCTATCGACGTGTCACGGATGTTGAGTTGTTGCAATACTGTACGGCGAGTGTTCACTGCTGGCGACGTCCAGACGGCGTACCGTGCCTCATATGTAGAATGCGGCACCATGTCTGGCATGTCTGACAAGCTTGGAGCATTGGACGCATCCAGCGCCTCTCCGCCCTCCGCCCAACGGGCTTATATCCGACGCGGCGCAACCAAGACAATGTTTTGGGACAGAGGTGGGGAAAAGGTGCAGCTAGCAGCGCGGCGGTGTATGGCAATGCGAATAGCTTCACGAGGAACATGGTGCGTCTTTTAAGGCAGATTTGGCAAGGGCCGTGATTGGTGGTGCCGACTGCCCATATGCATTGGGCCGGTGGATACGTCGTTCGTCTGTGCGGCCCGAGGAAGTGAGCATATGCGGGCCACCCAGCAAGGCAATACGCTAGGTAGTCGCAGCCGGAAGTCAGGATCCGGCATTCTCGAGCGACGGCAGCCGTGTTTGCTGTGGCTATGCCGCATGTTTCTGCTGCTCGAGAGCCGCCGGGCCTGCTGCGACATGCGATGGCATCTGAAACTGTGCGACGTCGAGGGTGCGGTGAGCATGGCGCAAGGCGGCCGTTGTTTTTGGGCGGCCGCTGGTGAGGAGTGGAGCTCGGCCCGCCAGACGATGCTTGACCGTCTCTGAGCAGCCCCGTGCGCGTCAGGCGATGGGGTTTGCACAGCGAAGGCGATGCACAGGCGCGTTGACCTGCGACCATGTTCCTTTGTCGTGAGCCAAGCAGGTCAACACATCGGCGCGGGGCGGTATGTCGCGCAGCCAACCACGGCGGGCCTGGCTGGGGGCTCTATCCGAGGCGTGACGGGTTTGGCATCAGTCGTCGCCTGAAACACACACGGCGACGCTGACGATGGCCGCTCGCGAGGCTGCTGCTGCGTGCCCGGCGTCGCGCAACAGCGTCCGGATGTTCGGCCTTGCCCCAACGGCGCTGCAAATGAGCAATTTGCTAGCGGGCGGCTTTCGCATCAGTCGCCCAGGTAGCTTTTGATCGCGTCTGAGCGTATCTCGAGGTGCAATTGCCCTAGCTGCTAGAGGCAAGCACGGCCGACTAGCGCTGTTTGCCCAGCCCGTGCGCGGCAGCATATATTCCTGCCCTCCCCAGCAACACCCGCCTCTTCTATCCGTTCACCCAAACCAGCATTAAATCACGCTGTAAGTCCCACCTGTGCTGCGCCCGAAGCCCCCCTCCATATAGTGCGCCCATTGCCCCCTTCACTGCTTCTCCCAAGCCCCAACCCGCGCCCGCTCCACCGCTGCCGATCTCCCGCTGACTCTGTACCGCGCAGGCATTGATATTCTCTGCCCCATCCACAACAATGCTCTACTCTTCCATCATCGTCGCCGCCGCGGCTTTCGCCGGCCTCGCCTCTGCGCAGAACTCGACTGGCAGCTACAACACCCCCATCCCATGCTGCAGCGTCGACCCCGGCACGGTGCCCCAGGACGACAAGCAGGCGTGGTGCAACGCCAACCAGAACACTTGCGTCTCCGCCTGCGGTGGCCAGTCCTCGGTCGCCAGCCAGGGCAACAACTGCAACTCTGTTGGTGTACCCACGGCCACGTGCAATCCTTCCGCTAACACATGCCTAGCAAACGCTTGAGTTCGACTGCAAGTGCAGGAACGAGACTGATATCACCTCTGCGCTGGGGAACTACGAACAGTCCGTCGAGGGCCAGATGTGCCGTTACTGGTACGACCAGTGTGTCACCGCCAGCGGCTCCGACGCTGCTGCCCGGTTCGAGTGCGAGCAGGCCCGTGACGCCGAGTGCGGTACCGAGAAGTTCGACGCCGCCGCCACGTCTTCAGGCGCCGCTTCCTCTGGCAGCCCCTCGGCCACCAACAGCGGCTCTTCTCCAGACAACACCGGCGATGCCGCCGCCAGCGGAGCCTCCTCTACCCCCACCGAGGGTGCTGCCGTCCGCAACGCCATGTACGGCGCACCTGCCCTTGCCGGTGGTCTTTTCGCCCTCTTCGGCTTCGCCTTGTAAGCTGGCAATACTCTAGATGGATTGCGGGCCGGTCCCAGTTGGACGGTAATGAGGATGGATTCGCGTCACGGATACTCGCATGGCGATACCACATATCGGGAGTTACGGCATAGCGTACCCAGCGCTTCGACGTTGGCGTCACATTGCTTGCACTGCTATCTATTTGTTCACGGCGGCTGAGGAGAGATGACGGGAGTTTAGGAGGATACTTAATGCGATGTTATGAAAGGACACACGACTTGTAATACCCAATACTACCAGTACCGCCATTGCGCTGTCTAGTTCTGTTTCAGTGATGCCTTCCCACATGCGCGCATCACATCCACCAACATGTGCCGATGCGGAGGCTTGGTGATTGTGTACATGTGGACGCGTCGCGTCTTCCCCGCATCTTCAACAGCCATGGTTTGCGCAGGGACGTGTAGTCTACCATGGTTGTCAGCTGTAGCGCTAGACCGTCGCCCTATTGGTCAATGCGCAGATCAGCCGGCTCGAAGCTCAAGAACGATAAGCGTTATGCAGTTGAACCCATGCCCACATGACGCACGTCTCCGAAATCGTTCCTAGACCCAACATCAAGTAGACTCTACCGTCGGAGCCGCTCTCTGCTCAGTACTTCACGACGCCTCACCGCCAACAGCCCGCCTGTTGACTAAAGCCCAGCCTTCGGCATCGCCGTATCACAAGCTCACAGTCAGCTCCGAAGCCGAGGCCAGGCGGATACCAAGACAGCAGGTGAAAGCCGCACCCCGAGCAGACGACATTTCCCTACTGACTACATCTAGACATCATAAATACAAGATCGTGGCTGTCTCGAGACTCCTCTTGTTCGCGGCCCACTCACCTACTCACTACGTCACTCCCCATCATCACCTACGCCAAAATCTGCGCAAGCGAGTTGCAGAACCGATCCACGCTCCATACACGACGAATCTTCAGAGAAGACGGTATACCTCGACAAAAATGGCGACTCTCAGTGCTGGACGTAAGCACAAGGTGACGATTGTTGGCTCCGGCAACTGGTATGTGGTTGCATCAGCTCCGGTGCGAGGGGAGATGGCTCCCACGCGCAAGCCATGGACAGCCGCTGAGATCAAGAGCTAACGGCCACAGGGGCACCACCATGGCCAAGCTGGTCGCCGAGAACGTCAGGGAGCATCCGTCGCTGTTCGAAGAGACCGTGCAGATGTGGGTGTTCGAGGAGGACTACACCTTCCCAAAAGAGTCGCCTCACTACAGCGGCTCCGACAAGCCCGAGAAGCTCTCGCAAATCATCAACAAAGTCCACGAGAACGTCAAATACCTCCCCAACATCAAGCTTCCGTCCAACGTCGTCGCCAACCCCGATCTCCCCGACTCTTGCAAGGACTCGACCATGCTCATCTTTGTCCTCCCACATCAGTTCATTGCACGTTCAAGCCAGCAGCTGGTCGGCAAGATTCTGCCATATGCGCGAGCTATCTGCTGTACAAAGGGTGTTGATGTCAGCGAGAAGGGCATTCGACTCATGTCCGAGACCATTGGCATGACGCTCAACATCTATTGCGGTGCCCTATCGGGAGCCAACATCGCTTCCGAGATTGCCCAAGAGAAGTACTCCGAGACGACAGTAGCGTACGACCCGCCACCAATGGACTCGCGCAACCCTACCCCCAGCGGCTCGCCGAGTGCCTCGCAGACTGATCTTACTGCTCATGTTGATCTTATCGACCCCAGTAAGAAGAAACCCAGTAAGCGTTCGGCGCATCTGACTGCTCTCCCCAACGAGTACCCCCCTCTATCGCACGAGAATGTTCGAAAGCTCTTCCATCGCCCTTACTTCCACGTACACATCGTTAACGATGTCGCTGGTGTCTCGCTGGGTGGAGCGCTGAAGAACATCATTGCGCTGGCTGCAGGCTTCGTGGACGGCTTGGGCTGGGGAGACAACGCAAAAGCAGCGGTCATGCGTGTCGGTATCTTGGAGATGGTCAAGTTTGGCAAGGCTTTCTTCGGAGAGAGTGCTCGTACAAGCACCTTCACTGAAGAAAGTTGTGGTGTTGCCGATGTTGTGACCTCGTGCATGGGTGGTCGCAACTTCCGCTGCGCAAAGATGGCCATCGCCCGCGGCAAGACCATTTATGAGATCGAGCAGTCTGAGCTCAACGGTCAAAAGCTCCAGGGCACCAGTACTGCCTATGAGGTCAACGAGTTCTTGAAGGCCGAGGGTATGGAGGACGAGTTCCCACTCTTCACCGCTGTCTACAATATCTTGGAGGGTAACAACAAACCCGAGGATATTCCTCAGCTCATTGAGAAGAAGCCATGACTAGAGGAACCCAGGCTTTAGACGTCCGACACATAGCGGTGGGCTCTTGATTCGATAGACTACATCCAGACTTGAAAGCGAATACCCCTTTAGGTAGAATAGACTCCCCTTGAAATCTCGTCGGATCGTGCATCCCGACGCCAATATACCCACGTACCGTGTGCAATCGCTGCATGGCCATGCAAATGAGCTTGTTGCATTAATTCCCAGCACACCTGCGTTTATAAGCAAACCATCGTACAACACCCGCAGCACCCAAACAGGCAGATTCTGACAGTGGGGACGAGCGTCTGTGTACAAGAATGATCATTTCTGGATATTCGCATACTTCCAAACATATAGAAACTTTATAAGCACTGCATATAGGCGATACGACATGTGCACCCGGCCGCGCTGTTAATGCAACCGACTGACGCATGTACCTCCGAACAGCATCGGACTTTAGAATTGCCTTGGCAGGATCGACGTTTAGTTTGGCGCTTGAGTCCGCGGAGCAGCATCCATGCCAACTACATCATGCCGAACATGGATCACTCCCAGCTACCGATCACTGACTTTGTGGAAGACCGCCTGACTGCAGCCTACACACGCGTCAGGAATGCGAGATGGTCCACCTTACACGAGTGAGCTGTGACTCGTGTTGTGGTAACGATATGCAGGGACACCCACTGAGTGGGTAAAGCGAATGAGATCGTGTGCGGAAGGATTGATTGGTAATGCGAAAAAAACTTAGATCTTCACCCGTTTCAACCGCATCTAGGTTTGCTCATTGTGGGTGCGCTTCGCATCTCTAGCCCTGTCTAGCTTCTCGGCAAGGCACGTCAATCGTTAATCAAATCTCAAAGATGACGACATGGCCTTGCTTTAACTCCGATGCCTCCTGCCTGAGGGTTTGTCAACTTCCCGATTTTTTGGCCTGGTGTCCCCGTTATCTGTAGGACCCCATTGTTTCCCGTCTCTTCAACGGCGGAAGCTTAATATCCGCCGATTGAGCAATTCGTCTGCAAGTAAACCTCGCGACTGCTTCTTCTGCTGAGTCTCTTCACAGCACCTCCACATTCTGTTTTCCCTCTAGTACAGCTGCTTGATACCCAATACATTCCTCATTCACCATGTGGGGTTCCGCCATTCCACCAACAGAACGAGACAATCGACGCAATCCATGGCATGAGGACGACTACCTTCGCGATGGGAGAGAAGAAGTAGTGACACCGGACCACCAGAGCGAGGAGGAGAGTCCAGATCGCGACCGCCTACGACGCGCGGGCACCTGGGGAGAGAAAGACGCAGGAAGACTTGATACACGGGCAGCAGCAGAGGACCTCGAGGTCCTACGAGGAGAGCTTGCGTCTCTTTCAAAGTCGCGTTCCCGCGGCGCGCAATCGCAACGATCGAACCCGCTTTCTAGGACCACAAGTCGACTCAGCAAACGCCAAAGCCAGGGCCAGGGTCATCGTCGAGGATCCATTACACGCGCAGAAGAGGGCACCGGCGATGCAGAAGATGACGAACCGGGAGACATTGTTGCTGCGGAAAAGGAAGACGACTTCGAGCTCGATGAGTTCATGCGGGAGGGACACTTCGAGAAGCGCAAGGACGGTCAATCGGCCAAGAAAGTCGGCGTCATCTACAAGAATCTCACCGTTAAGGGTGTAGGGTCGACTGCTTCCTTCGCGAGGACGCTACCCGACGCGATTCTGGGCACCTTTGGGCCTGATCTTTACCGTATCGTCTCCGGGTTTATCCCGGCGCTGAAGTTAGGGAGACATAAGCAGATGCGGACGCTTATCAACGACTTTTCGGGTGTGGTCAAGGACGGCGAAATGATGCTCGTCTTGGGACGGTGAGCAATACCTCCGTATGAAATGTATGCGTGACAACTTCTGACATAGCTTACTAGGCCCGGATCCGGATGTTCCACCTTCCTGAAGGCTATATCGAACAATCGCGAGTCGTACGCTGCCGTGGAGGGAGATGTATCCTACGGAGGTATTCCAGCCGGCAAGCAGAAGAAGCAATTCCGAGGAGAAGTCAACTACAACCCCGAGGACGACTCGCATATGGCCGATCTCAACGTCTGGCAAACACTCAAGTTTGCCCTCACCAACAAGACGAAGAAGAACGAGAAGCACGAGGTCAGTCTCCCGCGCGAAAAGTCCACGCCAAAAACCTACTAACATGATGAACTACAGATCCCCATCATCCTTGAGGCACTCCTAAAGGTCTTCGGTATATCCCACACCAAATACACCAAAGTAGGGGATGAATACGTCCGTGGCGTCAGTGGAGGCGAACGCAAGCGCGTCTCCATCGCCGAGACTCTCGCCACGAAGAGCACGGTCAACTGCTGGGACAACAGCACCCGCGGCCTTGACGCCAGTACCGCGCTCGACTACGCCAAATCACTTCGTATCATGACTGATATCAGCAACCGGACGACGCTAGTGACGCTTTACCAAGCTGGTGAACAGATCTACGAGGTCATGGACAAGGTCATGGTTATTGATGCTGGACGCTGCATCTACCAGGGGCCGGCGGGCGAGGCGAAGCAGTACTTTCAGGACCTGGGGTTCAAGTGCCCGGAACGCCAGACGACGGCTGACTTTTTGACGGCGGTTACTGATCCTACTGAACGTCAGTTTCGTGAAGGTTTTGAAGACAAAGCACCGAAGACGTCGGAGGAGCTTGAGAAAGCTTTCAGGGAGAGTGAGGCTTACAAGAAGGTTTTGAGAGAGATCTCTGAATACGAAACTGAGCTAGAGAACAGCGGCTATGTAGACGCCAAGGAGTTCGAGGGTGCCGTACGGGAAAGTAAGAGTAAGACGGTCCGCAAGAAGAGTCCATACACGGTCTCTTTCATCCGCCAAGTATTGGCTTGCACTCAACGCGAGTTCTGGCTTACATGGGGTGACCAGACTACGCTGTATACCAAATTCTGTAAGTTGCGCCAACGCGATGAGGGAGCCTGGAGGTATTTGTCACCTTTTCAGATTTCAAACGTCTTTTGAAACTGTTGCGAGGACCTCCTTGCTTACTCGTCGCTCTTACCATCTCGCGATAATCTACTAACGTCTTGGTCAAGTCATCATCATCTCCAACGGTCTCATCGTCGGTTCCCTATTCTATGGTCAAGCTCTCGACACCTCTGGTGCTTTCTCACGAGGCGGCTCTGGTTTCTTCTCCATTCTCTTCCTCGGGTGGCTCCAGCTTTCGGAGCTGATGAAGGCGGTCTCTGGTCGCAATGTTGTGAAGAGACATGAGGACTATGCCTTCTATCGCCCTAGTGCTGTGGCCATTGCGCGTGTGGTGCAAGACTTCCCGCTGCTACTGGCACAGGTCATTCCGTTCTGTAAGTCATTTCTTCCCGAAGCCCATATGGGATGCATGCGCCTGAAGATGTTTGCTAACAATTTCAGCCATCATCATGTACTTCATGACCGGTCTGGACGTGGACGTGTCCAAGTTCTTCATCTACTTCCTGTTCATCTACATCACGACCTTTTGTGTTACAAGTCTCTACCGAATGTTCGCTGCTCTCTCGCCTACCATCGATGACGCCGTTCGGTTTGCCGGTATCGCACTCAACCTCCTGATCATCTACACGGGTTACGTCATCCCGAAGCCACAGCTTCTGACGGACTATATCTGGTTTGGATGGATATACTGGATCAACCCGGTTGCGTACTCTTTCGAATCGGTGCTCGCAAACGAATTTTCCGATCGTATCATGGAGTGCGCCCCCAGCCAACTGGTACCACAAGGACCAGGTGTCGATCCCGCGTATCAGGGTTGTAGTCTGACTGGTGCACCGCCGAATTCGAGGACCGTGCCCGGCTCAGACTACCTCCAGGTGTCCTTCAACTACTCGAGGTCGAACCTCTGGCGCAACTTCGGTGTCGTCATAGCCTTCACGGTGCTATATCTTTTGGTAACGGTGATCGCAACCGAAACGGTATCCTTCGCGCAGTCAGGTGGCGGTGCACTGGTCTTCGCCAAGAACAAGCGAGCCAAGCAAGCTGTCAAGGAAGAGGCTCCTCTTGACGAGGAAAAGGTGGTCGCTGGCGAGTCTACCGCGAGCTCAGACACCGCTGCTCATCAAGAGGAGGAGGCGCTGGACTCGATCTCGAGCAGCGAAAGCGTCTTTACCTGGAAGGATGTCGAATACACTGTCCCATATCAGGGAGGTGAGCGCAAGCTTCTGAACAAGGTCAACGGATACGCAAAGCCTGGTGTTATGATCGCCCTTGTCGGTGCCTCTGGTGCCGGTAAGTCCACCTTACTCAACACACTATCGCAACGACAATCTACCGGTGTTGTCTCGGGTGAGTTCCTGGTGGATGGCAAGGATCTCGGCAAGGCTTTCCAACGAGGAACTGGGTTCTGCGAGCAGATGGATCTCCACGACGGTACTGCTACAATCCGCGAAGCTCTCGAGTTCTCCGCCATCCTGCGCCAGGATAAGAAGACGCCTAGGAAGGAGAAGCTCGATTACGTCAACAAAATCATCGACCTGCTCGAACTGCAAGACATTCAGGATGCACTTGTTTCCAGCCTGGGTGTTGAGCAAAAGAAGCGCCTCACGATCGGTGTCGAACTCGCTGCAAAGCCTTCGCTGCTACTGTTCCTTGACGAGCCGACGAGTGGTCTCGACAGCAACTCGGCGTACTCCATCGTCCAGTTCCTCAAGAAGCTCGCTCAGGCAGGCCAGGCTATTGTCTGCACCATTCACCAACCCAGCAGTGTCTTGATTCAGCAATTCGACATGATTCTGGCCCTCAATCCCGGTGGCAACACGTTCTACTTCGGTCCCGTAGGCGAGAACGGAACCGACGTCATCAAGTACTTTGGAGACCGTGGCGTACAGTGTCCGCCTAGTAAAAACGTGGCAGAGTTCATTCTGGAGACTGCAGCGAAACCTGTCAAGCGCAAAGACGGCAGTAAAATCAACTGGAATGAAGAATGGCTCAATTCCGACAACAACAAGCAGATGCTCCAGGAAATCGATCGCATCAAGGCCGACCGCAGCAAGACCGTCTCCAACCAGAACCAAGAAGGGGCAGAAGAGGAATCCGAGTTCGCGGCCAGTGTCTGGGAGCAGACCACCATGCTTACCAAACGCACCTTCATCCAGTACTGGCGTGATCCGTCGTACCTCTACGGCAAGCTCTTCGTCGCAGTGATCATTGGCATATTCAACGGCTTCACGTTCTGGCAACTCGGCAACTCCATCGGCGACCTGCAAAACCGCATGTTCACCGCGTTCCTCATCATTCTCATCCCACCCACCATCGTCAACGCCGTCGTACCCAAATTCTACCAAAACATGGCACTATGGCAAGCTCGCGAACTTCCATCTCGAATTTACGGCTGGGTCGCTTTCACCACTGCGCAGGTGGTGGCTGAGATTCCTATTGCCATTGTGTCGAGTGTGCTGTATTGGATTCTGTGGTACTTCCCTACCGGACTACCCACTGACAGCTCAACGTCGGGATACGTCTTCTTGATGACCATGCTGTTCTTCCTGTTCATTTCCAGCTGGGGTCAGTGGATTTGTGCGTTTGCGCCGAGCTTTACGGTCATTTCGAATGTTTTGCCTTTCTTCTTCGTCATGTTCGGTCTGTTTAATGGTGTTGTACGGCCGTACGACATGATGCCCGTCTTCTGGAAGTATTGGATGTTCTGGATAAACCCTTCAACGTACTGGATTGGCGGTGTTCTCGCTGCTACTTTGAACGGTATACCGGTTGAATGTCAGGAGAGCGAGACCGCCATCTTCGACGCACCACCAGGCCAGACCTGTTCCTCCTATGCCGGCGCTTTTGCTTCAGCTTCTCCAGGATACCTCCTCAATCCCGACGCCACGACTGGTTGCCAATACTGCCCATACTCCGTGGGTAACGACTACCTTGCTACTATCCACATCAAAGCAAGCGACAAATGGCGCAACTTCGGTATCTTCCTTGCCTTTTGCATTAGCAACTGGGCGCTTGTTTACTTCTTCGTTTGGAGCATCAGAATCAAGGGGTGGAGCTTTGGTTTCGGGGCTGTCTTTGGAGGCCTGGGCAAGGGTGTTAGTAAGATCAAGGGCATGCTAATTGGGAAGAAAAAGACCGAAGAAAAGGCCTAATAAGTACCGTAATTCGTGTGAGAGCGGGGAAGAGAGAGATGTCAGTAGTCTATCTAGAATATAATCTTCACGTTTTGGCAAAGTCACGTCTCAAGTCATCTTATGAAGGAGCCTCTTTAATCGCCAGTACTGCGTCGGTTTGTGCATGCCATCTCATAGATGTATGCATCCAACAAAGCCGCAAAACCCAAGTCAACATGTCCTATGATACTGAGCGCAACGCATGCAACTGCAGGTTTGTTAACCAGCAGGCTATCATACAGCAGATGAATGCAGTGGACCACTAGGCCCACCTTTACGAATGCCAAACTGTACTTCCTTTCTGCATCTATGTTTTCGGGAACAGTATCCAGGAACTTGTATCCACTTAACCCAACAGCACCACGCTCAACCATCATCCTTGCAATATTGGTGGAGAGTTCAGCAGGATCATTGCCGTTCACCCGATTGCTGCTGTCAAAGGCTCCGCGGCTTCCAGTCGGAGTGGAAGACGTTTACTTCTAACGACTTAAGCCGCAGGACGGCAATGTTGACAGTGGCAATCAGATTCTCATGTTCATGTTGCTAGAACGCGGTCGCAGACATCAACGGCGCACCCTTTCCTTCGGAGATATCGATCCCGATGAGGAATGTTATTGTCACTTGAGGCTCCAACGGCGCATGGAGATGGCGTGCATTTGGTGCACAGGTTCGGTGCTGCGGGCGGTCCGGCACGGTACCCATGCGGCTAAGAAGCTAGAGGATAGCTAAATCGTCATTAAGGATGCGAAGGATGTAAAGGAGGCGAACTTGTTCACATCGCATACACACTAAAGGCGACTATAACGGGTGTCCCGTTCCGACTTGGCAGGGCGTAACTTACTATATATCTTGGCGTTTGGCCTTACACATTCACTCGTCTTTGCACCGAATCAACATCCAGAAGCAACCATGAACGACCGCTATTACACGAACCAAACGCTTTTAGCCAGCACCTAGGCGACATGTGGCAAATGGTATGGGCATCGTGAAGGGCTATTGAGAACGGAAGCGAACACCACGAAGGATTTCCCAATAGAATCTGCAGGTTAGCGCATCATAGGCATGATAATGGACGGGAATTAGATGAAGGCCATGCTACGAGAATATGTATTTAAAGCCCTCAAGTCTCTCAGATTTCTTTTCAGTATCCTCATCAGCATTGCCTTCACTCAAGGCAAGCACTATCTTCCCATCAGTTCAACAGACTGGATTACACTTTCCAATATGCTTGCCAAACTCGCTACTCTTTTGACCGTCATTGGCGTATCCAGCGTGCAGGCGCAGCTGGTTTACGAATGCGACTCATACACGGAGCCAAATTATGATTCTTGTAAGTGACCACCTGGCGTTACACGACTCTCAACTAATCGAGTTTTAGGCGACAGAATCATAGCTAACATTGACTGGACGGAAAGCCCTTACAATGGTGGCCGTCCAATTAGAGATGGTGCCTGCAACATCTTCTCTGATCCGACGTTTTCGGACGGGCAGGACGCAAACTGCGTCATCGCTGTATGCAACACCCGCGGCGATGGCCAGGACTCGTACTTGAATGTCATCAGCGGCCCGACATACTATCGCTTGATCAAGCAGTGGTGTGAGCCTCAGGGGTCTGGCGGTCGGGCCCCAGGCCCTGCTCAAATAGAGGCAGGTTCAAACCAATACGTCGAAGCGGGCGCCGTCCCAGCAAGTTTCGCCAGACGCAGCTCCATTCGCACCACGACCCGCTCTGCTAAGCCGCAACTAAGAGTTGACTCGAAGACGATAGAGGAGATGGAGGTTTTCTGGGAGACGGTGAGGAACGAAACCATCCAGCGTCAATCCGAGCCTACTATCCAGAAGAGAGTGAGTGTCCAGTCCATCCTTGCCCCTGTTTACCAATCTTACTGCCTTTTTCTAACACGATCCGACAATAGCAAGAAGAAGTGCTTGTCCTCGGCCTTTCCAAGTCCGTTACTCAACCCGGCGTCAGCAACCGGATGAGCGGCATCAATTCACCCGGCGTATCCACCGAGTGGTCGACTACAGAAGGCTTTTCCACGAGCGTCGGCGTGAGTGCCGAATTAAGCGTCGGCTTCTTTGACATCTTCACTGCATCCGTTGGCATCGACGTATCTATGGAATTTAGTCAGGAGTACACCCGGACGATTGAGTTTGATCCAAGCAAGTCGTGCAGTACTTCACAGGAGGCCTTTATGGTCTTCTTGCCGCACTTCGATCACTACGTTGTCGCGGACGAGAACGGCAACCAGTACGATATCTGGATTCCCGTAGAAGGAGGCGATGTCGCAGTCCAGTGTCTTGGCTAGATGAACATGGGGATGATTGTTAGTTGTAGGGCGGTGGGCCTGGTGGCGGGATATATACTCTGCACGCTTTTTGTAGTATAGCTAGACCTTTTTGCACTTTCAACAATTGCTAAGGTCTTTTAGATGGATATGTAGTTAGGCTAAATAGAGGCGCCATGGCCACTTACTTGTGTGGCGAAGGCAGTGCTCAATCATCTCTCTATTTTGCTTATTCTCGAACAATTCCTCATATGCTTTCTTCCAGAATTCATAACGTAGTAACTCTATCCAACGTCAGTTCCACATCTTGAACAACGAAATTGCATCTCAACTGGCCCATGAGGTATTTGCTGTAGTCCGCGGATAACTACACAAGCATTACAGCCGCGTCTAAAGCAATGAACAAAGACATCAAAGTGTTTGCCGCCCTTTATTACGTACACAAATATATGTGTCATCTTATCCTCGGTACTGAGCTCGGTACCTCAAATTGTTGGATGAGGTCGCCAGGTTTTAGATTACGGAAGCTATGACTGGCTCACCGCGGTGGATATTGAGTCCTCTAGTGGATATGAACCAAGGGATAGTGATCATAGCCACCGCGCCCTACGTAAGCTAAGGCGATATAAAAGGCAACATCCTAGAGAAAAAAAGAACTTCGCAACTCCTACAGAACAGGTCAGTCATCCTTCACACCTTGTTTTTTTTTGTATGAACGCTAAATTTGAAGGGGGTCTCAGAGGGCCACATTTGTGTGTTGGTGTTAGCACCACACGTAGCTCCCCGACGGGTCAACAATCGGACTGCATTGTGCAATCAACTAACCATGAAAGTTTCTTTCATCTCAGACTTGTTGAGATAAAGAAAAGACATTGGCTTACTTCGAGAGCAGGAGGAATCGAGCTTCCAACTTCGCACCTTGCGTTTTGGTGTTCGACTTCCCGAGGTCGAGAGGGTGCGCGCTTGATGAGAGGAAGGCCAATTGTTGGGATAATACACGCGACATTCAATACGACCGATGATGAAGCAGCCTGACCGGGATTTCCGCACCATTATGTGCGTTGTTCTCGGTAAGAGAGAGGGAAGGCAGGTGCTGAGGTCACTTTGAGGGCAGGCAGGAGGGGCGGTGATGAAGCAGTCGCAGTAGTGTTCCCCACGCTACACGCTGGGGTTCGCGAACCAGCAGCGCAAAGCTCTGAGACCCCAAAAAACATGTTAGTTACACAGCAAAGCATGAGTAATATAAGAGATCCTTATGATATGTTTCAAACAGGGAGACATTTCCGCATGTACTATTCTATCGCATGATCAACGCCGCGCAATGCTGTGAGAATTGTCTATACTGGCTGAGCCCACCACCCTAAAGCTGCACCTGAAACTTCGGGTTCGTCCTGATCCTCTCACCATAGTACTTGAATAGAATCGGCACCGGGATAAACGCCACAGAGATGAACCCAAGTAGAGAATTTCCCCACCCCAACCCCAAAGCATCATACATGTTTAATCCAGCGAGCGGCAGAAAGGCACCAAACATGGAGCGGAGAACGGTATTCGCTGCGATAGCAGATGCAGCGTGGACAGTAAACGCATCAACGAGGTAGGTCTGAATAGTCATCATAGCCGTCAGATTGCCCAGACCGATGAACGAGGTAAAGATGATGGGGACGATCCAGTGGACTTTGTAGTATGTCGTCCATCCGTATACGAAGACACCGACGGGGAGTCCAATGGCACCGGGTAGGGTAAGGATAAGCGGAAGGCGGTGTTCAGGCTTGACGTTTCCTTTGGCTTTTTGCTTGACGATGATCTTGTCGGATAGGATACCGAGGGCTACCATACCAATGAACATGCCTACACCAACACCGATGTAGGATAGTCCGACGGCGCCGGAGGAGAAGTGGTATTGGCCCTCAAAAACAAACGTGACGGTCGTGAAGAACAGGTACAGGATACCGTAGTTGACAGCGACGTAGAGGGACATGAGGCCGACAATGGGAGAAAGGAAGAGCATCTTCATCGGGCGCACAATAGCGCGAATGAAAATCTCCCTCGGCGGCAGATCCTGAGCAAGTTTCGATCTCAGATTCTCGTTCCCAGTTTCTTTCCGAAGGGCCTTTGTCTTGCGAGCGAGAAGAGTAGGATGGTAGGACTCGCGGCCAACGAAAAAGAGCATGACGCCGAAGACGCCGCCGAAGATGGCGAGGATCCAGAAGACCCAGCGCCAGGATTGGTTCTCCACGAGGAAACCTCCGCATACAGGTCCGATGACAGGGCCTAGAAGTGGTCCGACGGCCCACACGGCCATTGCACCAGCTCTTTGTTCAGGAGGAAACATGTCGGCGATTGTGCCGCCTCCGATAGTCAAGGGCGCGGCTCCGGCACACCCCGCTAGAAAACGGAAGCCCACTAACATGCCCATGGAATTGGACAACGCGCAGGCGATGTTGAAGACAACAAAGAGTGCGTTGCAGATGTTGTACAGATGCATGCGTCCGTAGAGTTCAGACATGGGCGCGATGATCAGAGGTCCAATGGCGAACCCCAAGATGTACACTGAGACGACGAACGAGGCCATTATGTTGGAGGTTTCGTTAAAGGCACGGAGGACCTGGGGGACGCCGGGTGCGAAGAAGGAGGATGCGAGGGGAGTGATGAGGGTACAGGCACCCAGTGCGGAGATGATACCCCATTTCTTTTTCGCCGTCCAGTTTTGAGGGTTGGCGGGATCATTTGGCCCGTCCCAGTCGACGATGTTGGCGTCCCGTTCTTGTTCTGGTTGGGCGATGCTAGACATTGTTCGCTCGTCTGTGTGCGTTGAATGGGCGTGGCTGTCGATGCCCTTCTCTGGGTCTTTGGAGAATGAATCCTCAGGTAGTCTGCTGTCTGCATCATGGCCTTGTTCGTATGCTTCTTTGGTAGGTCCGTTAGGCAGATCTTGCGCATCCCGCGCGGGGTTTGGTAATGACGACGGCGTCGCCATTGTGGACGTTGAATATGGAGTGAACTGAAGGAGGAGTCGTTAGCATGTATTGGACACCGTGACGCATCTTCGCCCCTTCCGTGCCGTACGCACTGATGTGGCGTACTCGTGTTAGATTACTGCGTACATTGGCAGCCAGGAAAGAGAAGCAAGTCTTACCGAGTATACGGTATTACTGAGACAGTCGACTGGGAATAACCGCAAGAACGGAATACAAATCGAACAGTTTGTAGATCGACAGTCCGGAAGTCAAACTATCAGCACAAAGCGTTCTAGGCAGATATGAAAAGTAGATCTGAGAGAAAGGAAAGAAGTGATGCCTCGTCTAAAGTGAATAGCAACAAAGGCTTACGTCGCAATCACGGACACAGAAATCTACGACCCTCCGCACGCGAAAGGGCTGCATGCCTAGACCTATGATGCGAGGGCGCAACGGTCCTACAGCCGTATGCAGCGTATTCACCCTATCTCCACACCCTACACGGCGTTATGTCCGCGGATAGGCTAAACTATTCAGAGCCATGGACAACGGATCGACGGCATTGTAGGATTCTGCACCAATAATATGGCGGGCGCGGGAGACGGTAGCCAGAGCATGGGGAGGCTTTGTCAAAGCTTGTTGGTTGGCATGGCGAGCTTGACAGCGCCCGCGAAATGGTGCCATCTCCCGAGCGTCGCTTGGCTGTAGGTGCGCGCGGAGGGTCGGATGGTCATCTCGGAGCTGGCGGGGCTTGGAGCAGTACTGTATTACTTTTGTAACACGAATTCCGTTCTTCGCAGAGACCAAGGCCCTTGACCTGGTTTCAGGCATTCGGGGTTGGGTCCGTCGCGCGTGTTCGTGCTACCACATTCGTCCGACGCGTGTGCCGCGGACCTGGTATGTAGTTTGGTTCCACGTCGAGCTCAGAGCGACGTTGCTATGGATCGTAAAACTAGTAGTAGCAATTTAGGCCTCTAGATGTGGTACCCGACGAAGCGAGTCGAGATGAGAGTACCGATGGCATTTGGTTAGTAGTACGCCGCCTTAGGAAGGCGACACAAAACACGTCTGACCTCGATATTGTCGTAAAACGCCCTGCAGCTGCATCGTTTGCCGTTCTGGGTATGCCTCTTGAGGTTTCTTGACAACGCGCAGATGTGAGTATGAGACGCGACGTCCATCGACCGATCCACTGTCCCCCGCAGAGAGGGAGGTCCCACTTGTCCCCAGAGTACGTGTCTTCCGATGTCATCCGACCCATTCTGCAGATCTGTGTATGGGAACAGCTGGTAGTAGCTCTTTCGGTTCGAGCGTGTCTGCGAGGGCTGGCTATCAAGGGTAATCTCATCGGTAGAGATTCGCATGCACCACTCGCGACTGTAAGTCTCTTCGAGTAAGAGCAGCGTAATGGGCACAGGTTGGCGTGTTATGGCCGTCACGCTTTGAAAGATAGATCCTCAGACGCTGACGCTGGCGCACGACATCAGCACGGGGCTCTGAGCAGTCCTGTTTGTACAATGGATTCGAAGTGGAAACTTTTCGTAGATGGGAATAAGAATGTCTATCATTTCATCGTAGGCAGCTGCTTTAAGAGCTCCCAAGTCCGTTGCCCATTTCATTCATTCATCCACTTCAGCTAGCCAGCCACATCAGCCGTGTGTATGTATATGCGCCAGAACGCCTTGCTTTGCCATTTATATTACAGAAAGAAGAGATTCATCCGCTTCATCCAATCTATCAGGGTATCTTTATGCGATGTTGCCGGCGAGACCAAGAAAGAGGGCTTGAGCTGCGAGCTGCAGTGTCCAAATGCCCACCTTCTTTATGCGTCGTTTACGTGTGGTTCGATCTTCGAGGACGTCGCGGGCGAATGCATCGTACATCTAAGCATGTTTTAGGACTCGTTTCTAGAGGGCAGCATGGGGAATAAATATAGGACTCACCTCCTTTGACACCTCCTCCATTAACCCGCTATCGTAGAGGGTCCAACTGCCGTCGAACTCACTAACCCTCTTCACAACCCTGCAATTCACTGGGATGAAGGTGCGACTTGAGTTCATGTATGCCACAATAGGTCGTACGAGCGCGTTGTTCACGTAAGAAATGTCCCGGGTAAAGATTGGGACTGCGGCGCGCACGTCGTTGAGATGGACACGCATGTCCATGATCATATAACGGTTGTCCTCCTCTGTTTCCTCGTGGGGTTGCGACTTGTCTTCAGGATGCTCATCGAAGCCGTGTACCGCGTGGTCAGAGAAATGGTGCTTGCGCTGTTGGATAACGGTAGCTTCCACACGATCGTACATGTCGGACATGACCTTTGCAATACTATCGTCATCGTCATTGGGGAACATGACATCTGCCACAATGTCGACGTTGCCTTCGTGGATCCACGAGAAGGGGCCTTCAAAGCCCCTGTTGAGGTGGTCGATGTTCAAGCCGTCGATACGAATCCGGCTATGCTTCTTCCAGGAGCTGCCGTCTTCGCTGTCGCGGCCGCTGCTCAACTGGGCGCCAGTGTAGTTGTGTGTTTGTCTGGGATGTATGGTAAAGAGCGAGTTGTCGAAGGATCCGGACATCATGTTGGCAGAGAGGAAGTCGTAGAACAGCCATTGCTTCCGCAGCTGAGGGAGGTCGCAAGAGAAGATGCTGACGGAGAACGGGCGGAAGCCGTTGGGCTGGTAGATAGTGACGAGCAGATCTTCCATCTTGAAGGACTCGAGTTCGAAGTCGCCCGGGTTGTGCTCGTGTTTGTATGACCTGGGATCCACGCCCTCGATTGTCTGCACTGACGTCCGATCTACGACACCGCGGATACCCTTGATTTCGACGTCCTTCAACAGGCCCTTGCCGTTGAACCATTTTGAGAAAGACAGTGTGACGTTGACGGTATCGATGGAGATGTCGAACTGTGTGTAGTTGGTGTCTTCTTCGGGTTCCGCTTTCTCTTCGACAGCGTCTGGAGTGTCGCTTTCCTGGTGGGTTATGGCGGCGGCGGCAGCAGCCATCTCGGTCTGTGAACCCTTGCTGACCTTTCCTTTGCCTTGGCCGGGGCGTCGCGAGACAAAGACATTGCGGAAAGAAATGACACCGTCTCCCCACTTGGGCACTACAGCGGTCTCGAAGACGACTTTTATGCCTGAGGACTTTGTCAAGTAGTTTCCGATCCACTTCGCAATCGTCTCCTGTGAGAAGGCGGTGTTGATCAAGAAGATGGTCAGCATGAAGAAGGTTGTAGTGCCCAGCACGATCCAGAGGAAGTGGGCGGCAATGATCCACGAGAACAATGCGTAGATCTCATCGGCATTGAAGGGACGGGTGCTTCGGATGGTAAGCCACTTGAAGTGGATCTTTATGCGCGACCAGAAGCCCGAGGCAGCTTCGAGCAGTTCAGCCTTGCTGGGGCGGTATATGTGGGGTAGGTGGTGCGGGAGACGGTCGAGGAGGGGCTTTGCGGCACCTGATGCTTCGGGCTTGGGCTTGGGCGGCGGTGTTTTGGAGGACTGCGGTGTCTGGCCCGTGGGCTCTGGTTTGGTCTTGGAGGAGCCATTCGTCGCCGAACTCTTGTTGCGGCGGTCGCTGCCTCTGTTCCTCTCCAGCGCTCGGCCCGCCTTGGACGATGCGTTTCTGCGCCATGCCGAGAAGACGGTGCCAGCCACACTCTGCTGGAGACGGCCGGTGCGGGGTGACGATGCTCGCAGCAGCAGACCGGGTGCGTGTCCGGGATACGGTGAGGTGGTCGACAGCCCCAAGACATGCGAATTCGCGGTGATGGAGCGCTTCTGGATGCCTCCCCGCCATGGCGACTTCGCCTGTGCCTGTGCCTGTGCCTGTGCCCATGCCCCCAGCCCTTCGCGCGGAAGCACACGGCCGCCGTGGATCAGCGGCTGGCCAGCGACGGCGCGCCACAGGAAGCCGAGCGTGCCTACATTCTTGTTCATGATAATCGCGGCGGGTACATGGTCGACGTCGGCAAGCGAGGGGTGTGCGGACGTGTGTGGGCGGAGAGAGGGTGCCGTGTGCGGTGCAGGACAGGCGGGCGGGTGGTTGGAATACAAGATTCACGTCATTACCCATGCACATGCAAAAAGAAGGCCTCGCGGTAGAGGGACAGGCGCTAGCCCGCTTCGGGACGACTGCCGCTCGCCTCAGCCAAATTTCTTGAGCAGCCCCACATTGTCGCGAATCGATAGCACCTCCAGCATCCACGCCCGCCTACACTTCGCATACCGCATACGCATACGCATACCGCATACCGCTGCCAGCATGCCCGCCCCTACCGCCCTCCAGCGCAGGCCCGACGAGTTCGCCGACGATGTCACCATGGAGGCGTCGTCGGTCCCGCTCCCGACCGAGAGCGACGGCGACCTCATCTCCATGAGCCTCGACCCCGTCGCCGCCGCGCACGATGCCCCAGCGCCCACCGACGACGACATGCCCATGACGGACGAGAGCGGGAAGCCAAAGTTCCCCGCCGCCAAGTCGATACCCCTCGCCTTCCGCCGCGAACAGCGCAAGGTCCCCATCCCACCCCACAGGATGACGCCCCTCAAGAACTCGTGGCCCAAGATCTACCCCCCGCTTGTCGAGCACCTCAAGCTGCAGGTCCGCATGAACACAAAGGCAAAGGCCGTCGAACTGCGCACCTCCAACGCCACAACCGACACAGGCGCGCTGCAGAAGGGAGAGGACTTTGTAAAGGCCTTCACGCTGGGCTTTGACACGGATGACGCCATTGCGGTAAGTGATACGAAGCCCTACACCTGAGCTGGCAGTCATTCAAACTGGGTCTGGCCTGGCCAGGCTCCTCAATTCGAGAACATCCGACTGACGACTCACAGCTGCTTCGACTCGACGATCTCTACATTGAGACCTTTGAGATCAAGGACGTCAAGACCCTACAGGGCGAGCATCTCGGCCGCGCGATTGGCCGCATTGCAGGCAAGGACGGCAAGACCAAGTTCGCCATCGAGAACGCCAGCAGAACACGAGGTGCGTCCATGACATGAATACCCCCGTTGTCCAGATTACTAACAACCCCCAGTCGTCCTAGCAGACCAGAAGATCCACATCCTCGGCGGTTTCAAGAACATCCACATCGCGCGCGAAGCCATTGTCAGCCTGATCCTGGGTCAACAACCAAGCAAGGTGTACGGCAACCTACGGACAGTCGCCGGACGTATGAAGGAGAGGTTCTAGACGATGCACACAAGCGAGAAATTTTGCATAGTAGCCAAGCAATGGCAACCGCGATATCGGGCATTTACACGGCGTTACGGACACTCGGGCAGGTTGGGAAAAGCTGTTATACCATCAGGCATGATTTGACGATTGGAAGAAGATGGATGGGATATCACATAGCTATAGAAGCAATTACGAGCAATGCATACATACTCGCATGGTCATGTTCGGTTCTGACAAAGTATGAGCACGAAGATTGCACGATACCATTCTCTCTCCACAGACATCTATACTGCCCGCTTCCCTCACGCATCCAGCCTTCCTACGAGTAGCGCACAAACCTCTCTCCCCTCCTCGCCCCAAACCCTCTGGCAAGGAATCCACTGCACACCCTCCATCTTGACCCCCTCTCCTCCATTCCCATACCACGCAAACCCCCTTCCAACATACAGCGTAGCACTCGTCCAGCCCTGTGCACCCAGCTTTCCTAGCACCTCCACATCCCGCTCATCCCTGATCTCCAACGTAAAAAAACGAGACCGACTGTGCGCCGGCGTCGTAGTAGTGCACTGGGGAACAGAGGCGTCACGCTCGTATGCGATGGAGGGAGACGTAAGACCCGTAGCGCTCCACTCTATATCCACACCGCGCGGCAGAGAAGACACCTGGGCGACGAAACAAGGTGGTACGACTATCTCTGCCTTAGCCCCGGTCGAACCTTGATTTTGCGCAGTAGATATGGCAGAGCGATCAGGGATCGGCGCCCGGAACGTAGAGTCCTTGAAGGCCGAGGCGTGTTGTTGGTTCAAGCGGTCCCAAGGATCAATATCCTCGTCTTCGTCTTCGTCCTCGTGGTTGTCGTCGTCAGTCGAGGATGAAGGTGGGGTATGAAGCTTCCTCCATACTTCCTGCGCCGTCCGCACATCCCCCTCTGGTGTCTCAGAAGCGGGAATGAAACATACGGCTGCTGTCCACCATGTCACTCGCTTTGTGCGGCCGATGCGCCAGAGGTGTTGGAGGGAAAGGAGAGCTTGGCCTCGGAAACCTTGTTCTGTGTAGACCGCCATGGATGCGGGGATGAGCGGGATTTGCCCGGCTACGTAGACGACTTCTCCGGTGGTTTGGGTGTCGTTTTCGGGGTGCTGCTTGCTGGGGGGTAGGCGGGCAGAGATGGCTTGGCTGTAAGGTCCGATGTTTGCGGGTGCCCAGTAGCTTCGGCCTTGGACGTGGAGGCCTTGTCTATTTACTGGGTGGAGGAGCTTTCCGTCTTGGTCGTTCTGGTCCTTGTCCGCGGTTACGCTTAGCATGACGTGTCTGTCTTTTGGCATGGTGTCCCCGACTGCGATCGTAGCTCTGGCTGGTGGGTTCACGCCGCTGAAGTATTGAGCGTAGATTGGATTAAGGACTGTAAAGTCTGCCATGTCGCGGAGGAGCAATGTGCAGTGGTTGACGCTGGATCTGGAAACATGACATTGCTTCAGAATATGGTCAAGACGGAGGAAGATCTTGGAGAGCTGACGAGAAGGGGAATCGGATGAGGAAGAGGGAGAGGTATCGCTCGAGAGGTTGGAGTATGTAAAGACGGTCGAGGTGTTACTGGATGTATTCCTGGGTAGTCGGTCTACTATGGACGGGAGATGCACTCGAGAGGGCGACCCAAAAGACTGAACAGTGCCCTCTTTTTCAGTGGACGCAGAAAGCTCATTTTGGTTGCTGGCGTTTGTCACTTCCAACACTCTCTTGAACTCGTCGTCAAAGAGCTCGGGTATCCTCAATGTGCCAGCACCTTCGTTATCGTCAACCTTTTCCTCTAGCGTACTCTTCTCGATCTTCAGCACCGCCTGGCCACCCTCCAGTTTCCCAGGTGGTCCCTCCTCGATCACTATCTTCTTCTTCCAGATCGACCTCGGCCCATCCAGTGCCAGCGTCTCAAACTCCCCTCCTTCACCCAGTATCGCGCCGTCACCAGCATCACCATAGCGCCCCATGGCCTTCGCTAGCCTTGCGATAGTCTTGTGATTAGCGACATCGAGGCCCAAAAAGTCTTCATCCAGACCACCAGACGCCGTCTTGATGATGATTGCTTTTTGTCCTACAGTCGTCATATCATGCAAAAGCGACGATTGCGTATACGGTGGCAACAGCGGATACTGCCACAGATACGACAGTGGCGTCAGCCCTAGCCTGAGCGCAACATTCTCCACACGCGTCCGTTGATACGTGCTCAGGATGGCGCCTGTAGACACTGCGTTTGCCTCCGGATGAGCTTCCATGACCCTTCTCAACAGCGGAACCAAGTCTTCAGTCTCATCCTGCTCTTGCTTTTGCAAAGGCGTTGCATAGTCTCTGTTCGAGTCTACGGCGGTGCCCAGGATCTCTTGTCGATAGAGCGGTATTCCTAGCGCTTCTTCGTAGAGTGGGATGACCGAATGCCCCACGGTCTGGTACATGTAACTGTTGATGTCCTCATCGTCATTGGCCGAAGGCGCTGGGTGCAAATTGGCCAGTGCTACGACACTGTGGCCGTTGGCTTTGCAGTGGAGAATGGAGAAGAGCGAGTCTTTGCCTCCGGAGATTAAAGCAATTACGCTCAATGACGGTGACATGGTAAAACGAATGATTCGAAACGGGCGACCGTCTGGGAAAAGCAATGAAGGAGTTGAGACGGCCCGGTGCCGCTCGTTGCATGAGACAGACGCAGGTGGATTGGATCTCGCTAAGGGTCTGCGCGCGCTAGGTTGATCCGTGGGGTTTTGCAGCGAGCGCGATAGTGTATTTTGGTATCAGGGTCCCGTCCTGCACCCATCGCTGACGGCTGATCGTCAAAGAACAACAGTGCGCACAACGCGCGGCTCGCATGGATGGCACAGTAGTCACATGCAGGGAAGAAGCATCGGAAGTATGTATGTAACGTGTTTTTGTATGATAGTCGGACAGTGCCAGCACCTCTAACCTACAATGAGCCGCAAAGAACGCAAAAGCATTGCTGAGCAGATTGTAAAAGTCTGACAATTACATGTGTGTGATGAGAAAGAAGCGAAGATTCCCAGAATGTCAGAGGGCGCTCAGATGAGGCTGCCCGATTACAACGAGTGTAGGAAGCGCAAGATAAACAGCGGGGTAACGCGGCGACAGTGGCCGGTGTAGGGTAATGGCCATGTCGTCGTAAAAGTGAAACCAAGAAAAACACCAGATCTATCCGTCCGCCAAGGTCCGCCCCAGAAGTCCCGATAAGCCGTGCTAAACGCAAAACCAAGCGATGAGAAGAAAATGCCAATCTCGCATGTTGGTACAGCCAGATCGGGTATGTAGAATACAGTGGGAGAAGGGAAGCGTAGAGTTTTAGCTGCAGATTGTGCAAGCTCGAGCCGCTGATGTAGATCGGTGCCGCCTGTCTAGCCATGTCGTGAGGGTGGACGAGCAGCCGTGTGGCATGATGTATAATCCTTCTACCAGGTGTTGTGGGGGTCATGAAGAGTCGTTAAGAGTTGAAAGGAGAAGTGTGGTAGTGAAGAAGGTTTACTCGTTCCTCTTGCGCTTCTTCTGGCTGGGGGAAGACTCGTTCTCGGATCCGTCTGAGCTTGATGTGGGGATCTCGGCAGCGGCGTTGTAGAGGATCTCGCCCATGGTGGAAGGCGCCTGTGCGCCGAACGCGCCGGGTTGGCCGTGCTGCATGTCCGAGTGATGGAAGTCGGAGCCCATGACCTCGAGACTGACAGCGCCAGTGCCGTGGGTGCGCTGGTGCTGGGACAGGTTGTCGCTCCTGGAGAACTTCTTACCGCAGTCGGTGCACTCAAAGGGCTTGTCGTGAGTGTGGAGAGAGCGGTAGTGGCGCTTGAGGTGCTCTTGACGGCGGAAGCGACGCGAGCACAGAGTGCAGACGAAGGTCTTGGAAGGGTCGTCGGTGAGCGACTGCTTGCGACCGCGACGGCTGGTAGGCGCGACGGGAGTGGCGTGTTCGTCTGAGCTGGAGCCGACAGCGTTTTCGGCTTGACCTGATTCTTGTTGGCTTGATGCTCCAGACATGGTGTTGTCATCACCGGATGTCTGTTGCTTACCCTGGTAGTCGGACTCAGTCTCGCTGAACTCGGAACGAGCCTTCTTGACTGTACGCCTCTTCATGTCAGAAGTGGCCGACATGTCAAAGTCGCTGGTGGCAGGGGTAAGGGGCAGGCCGTTGACAAGCTCCTCCTCGAAGTCGGTGAAGCTCTCGTCGCTGAGGAAGTCCTCTTCGGGAGAAAAGGCTCCTAGGTCAGTGCGCTGGCGCTTGCTGCCGCAAAAGTGGGCGTTGTCGGTGGAGAAGTTGACCAGGCCAGTGAAGTCGTCCTCGCAGTCAAGCTCGAACAGGGGCTCGAAAGTAGGGAGTCCGGTGAAGTGGAACGACTGAGCAGGCTCGAAGCTGTCTACCTTGGCAGTCTCACCCTTGAGGACAACCTTGTGCTCCTCGTCGCCGGGGCAAAGTGTGACGACAGGAAGCTCGGTAGTGGCGGAGACGGTGAGATCGCGGGGGTTGCAGAAGTTGTTCTCGGCTTCCGCAAAGGCAGAGCGGGGCACTGGTGATGGTGATGGGGAAAGCGAGGGGCATGAAGTTGCAGACAGGAGGTAGGACCCCTGGTTAGCCGACGGAGGCTGGATGTAGACTTGAAGTAGTTAGCAAAGCTGTCCACGCACACACGTAATGAGTTGCCCACGCAACGTCGAGGCAGCGACATTGCTTGCACAAGACGATGCAAATAGTACATTGGATAAACTTACCTGGTGTCATGGGTGGGGAGGCTGAACGCCATTCGAGACCGGCAGAGAGGAGCTCAGAGAAGACCTCGCCTTCGCAGCCCTGCTTTACACCCTCGATGCCCTCAGCAGAGAACATGTCGTGCAGCGGTGTAGGGAGGACATCGCATGTGGAAGGAGGGCTGCTGGTGTTGCTACCGCACGATGAAAGAGGAGGCGTGGCAGGCGAGAACGAGTAGTCAGTGTCAATGGGGTGAAGGTACGGCGAGTCTTGAGGTTGGATCAAG